AAAAGGAATGGGCTGGAGATGTAGCTCAGCTGGAGATGTACCTGGGTTTAATACATACGCTATTAAAAGAAATACTGGAAAATTTTATACTAAAGTACAAATACAATATTGCATAAGTCTCGTCCCCCACCTAAATATTTAAAATTTAAGACTCATCTATGATGAAGTTACTAAAGTAATATTTCATGCATTTTCAAGGAATGAGGGAGTTAATTAAGAAGAAAAAATCAAAAAGCCTTTCTCTGTTGGACTGAAAAGATTCTGGGGTCCGGAAAATTCTCCTATTCCCCCCCACACACACTTTTTTTTTCTTTTTGAGACAGGGTCTTGCTATGCAGTTCATGCTGGCCTTGAACTCACTTTGCAGCCCAGGCTGGCCTCGAACTCACAGCAATCCTCTTGCCTCAAACTTGCTGGATTACAGGAGTGCGCCACCACACCCAGCCCCTTGTTAATTTTTAAAATGGGGATACGAATGCACATAGGTCTGGGGGTGGTGGTGCACACCTGTAATCCCAGCACTCAGGAGGCTGAGGCAGGAGGATCACTGCGAGCTCAAGGTCAGCTTGGGCTACAAAGTGAGCTCAAGGCCAGCCTGAACTGCATAGCAAGACCCTGTCTCAAAAAGACAAGAAAAGCTGGGGATAACTCAGTGGCACAGTGCCTGCCTAGAAAGTGCAAAGTCCTGAGTTCAAGTCCCAGTGTGAAAAAAATAAAAATATCTAGGTCTGTCCCACTTCCACCACAAATCAGTTAAATCAAAAAGACAAAGAAAAAAAAAGAGAATTCACACAGATAACATGTGGAAGACTTTGTAAATATGATGCAAATATTAAATACAGTTTTGTAATTATCTCTTCTCTCACTGCTTTCACCATGACTGCTGTGCCACCTGTTGGATCTGGCTTGTATTACACTATTATTTGTCTATCCCTCAGTGATGGTGAACCTTTCAGAGCTTTCAATCATACAAACAGCCCCCTGTGGCATGTGTGCCACAATTTTGCCACCACTGCACTTTTCTTGGCGTAACTGAAGACCCTTTAGTAAGAAAATTCCCCTAGTTGGTTTCACTGAACTTAAAATAGATTATTTATGATTAATGAGTTAAAAAATTACCTAATGAACATTTATGAAGTGGAAAGAAATGAGAAGACAAGGATAGAAGGGTCTTAATGCCTATGAGGAAGTTGGGGATATGCCAGAGTGTCAGAGTAGATGATCTTCTACCTGGCTCTTGAGAAAGGAGGGTATTTTTGAGAGGAAAATAAGAACACTTCAGACAGAACTGTATAGGCAAAAGCACAGAGGTGTAAAAGCGCCTTTGAGGATGGTAAATTGCTCTGTGTAATCAGAGCTCTGGATCCAGGGAAGTAAAGGTGATGGCAGTGATTAATAGCCAATTTTCACAGTCCTTTACTGTGAACAAAGTCCTTTTAAACACATACCCTCCAGGAGGCCTTATAGTACAATGGATGATACTATGCACTGTGCTGATAGCTAGATTAGGGTTTAAATCTATGCTGTATATGATAACTGTTATATATGACAGTTATTTAACTTTGTGAAGTTTTCTCATATGCAAATAAAAGCACCTACTTTGGGGCTCTTGTCAGGATAAATTACATAATGTTTGTCAAGTTCTTACACAATACTGAATAACATGCAACTGCAATAGGCCAGGTGTGGTGCTGCACTCCTACAATTCTAACACTCGGGGCTTCAGGCAGGAGGATGACAAGTTTGAGGCCAGCCTAGGCTACACAGGGAGACCCGTCTCAAAAACCAAGCAAACATTACTAGTAAACAGGTTAAGTGGCTAAAGTGGGACACTAAATCACCCATGTGTGTGTGCATGCTTTTTTCCTACATCAAAGATTCTGGACTACAAAAACAGGTGGGATCAGAAGGTTAAGAACCCTAAATAAAGCTGGACATGGTGATTCTTATCTGTAATCCCAGCTACTTGGGAGGCTGATGCAGGAGGATCACAAATTCAAGCCCAGCCATAGCATTTTTTTTTATGCCTTTTTGTTTTTTTGAGACAGAGTTTCACTGTGTAATTCCAGCTGGCCTTGAACTCACTATGTAGCCCAGGCTGGCCTCAAACTCACAGTGATCCTCCTGCCTCAGCCTCCCGAGTGCTGGACTACAGGCGTGCACCAACACACCTGGCCAGTCTTGGCAATTTAACAAGAATCTGTCTGACAATAAAAATAAAGTGTTCAGCATGTAACTCACCTTTGGGTCAATCCCCAGTATGGGGTGGGGGGACATCCAGTATGACAGTGTAAATTTGGCTTTGAGAAAAACTGAATATTATTAAGCAAGAGAGATTTCTGAATCAGTTTTCTATTTTTGAGAAAATTTTGAACCTTCTGAGTAGATTCACTGGGTTTACAATCAACAATTGTAATATAATGATAATAAAAATATATTGAGAACATAGGTATTAAGCATGTGGAAAGAAGAAAGACTGCAATGCACATTTGATTTTTAGAAAATAAACTGTTAGTTTCAGATCCTTTTAAAAACTCAAAGGAAGAAACAGGGACCATTCTCAGTATTCTACTTCTAATGTGATTTTTTTCTTAAGTGACAAGAATTCTACATGCGCTTATTTCTAGTATTTTACCAAAATTATTTCTAGTCTTCGCAGCATGCAGTAGCCATTCCAGACAGAGAGCCTGAGGATCTGAAGGTGGAAGAGTAATACCCTCAAGGTCACCACGCTGGCGAAATGGCAGGGTCAAAAGTCAAACTCAAGCCTGCTTGCTCCAGTGCTCTTGCTCTTTCAGTAACTTCTCACTTCCTCTCAGTTTGTGGAGGAAATATTTTAAGACAGTAAGATGCCTCTCAGATAACTCTCAAACAGTATGAGCGTGAAGAGCAAGGGCGGGCCTGGCACTCCTCCCATGAATGCAGAGAAGGAAATGCATCTGAGTCCTCAGAGTCTGGTCCTCAGCTCAGACTCTGTGGGGAGCAAAATAGCACTAGGAAGAGGGGAGGCAGAAGTGCCCAGAGTTAGGACATTCCTCCTGATGAGTTTCATCTTTCTAGTTAGCCAGTTCTACTGAACCTTCTCCTAGGGGGCAGGAATTGTGGTAACTAGTAAATTCTGATCCACAGATCAAAAATAGCAAGCACTGGGGAATGAACTCAGCCCTTTCAAACTGTACTACATCCCTAGCTCCTTTTTGGTTTAGAGTCTGGGTCTCACTAAATGGTTAAGTTGCTCAGCCTGAGCTCAAACTTGTGATCCTCCCGCCTCCGCCTCCCAGAGTGCTGGGATTATGGGTTGCATCACCACACTGGGGTCAAACCACACTTTTAATAGAAAATAAAAAATAAATAATTTTTTTAAAAACAGAGAAACGAGAGTACCCAGAGGAGGAAGGCCGTATGGAGAGAAAGATAGGAACCTTGAGTCTGGGAGACAACTCTAGCTGACTCCCTCACTCTCTCAGAAGGCCTCTCTACATGAGGCCTGCTTCGTGTGGGAAGAACTTGTTAAACTATGGTTTCGCAAGGGACTTCCTAGGAAAGAAGTGAGATTTGCCCCATCTTTATTCAAAACTAGTTTCCTCACCTAGAATTTGATGCAGAATATTCTGGTCCATCAAAGAGATGGTACAACTCAGTTCTGTAAGGACTATGGGCTGGGACTCAGGAGACCTGGTTCTAGCCCCAACTTTGCCTCTCATTCTAGGTGACCCTGCCAAGCCCCGTTCCTTGCCCTGGACTTTAGGTGTTGGTTTTCTTGGCTGTGAAGTGGGGCACTTGTACCCAGCCCTCTGGAAGGAGTCTTTTCAGCTCAGTCAATCTACAATTACAGCTCTTTATGGCCCAAGTTAGTTTTTTATGTTGCCCAGGCATAGGAAGCTCCCCATAGACTGGAATCTAGGGGATCTGATGGCCTGACAATGTGCTAGTCACACACGGTTTTCTAACTGACATAACCTCTAACCAACAAGTTCCCTATCTAGATTGATCTCTTTCATCTGGGGAAGAAGGTGCCCTTTCAGACAGGGCTTTATCATGCAAATCACCCTGACACTTACTGTGGGTTGTAGGGATATCAGTTTCTCTGACAGATCACTGCTTAATGAAGGGAAGTAAGACCTAAATGCTGAATCTCTCTCAGCCTCAGCTTCATCTGTAAAATATGTAAAAACCCCACATTACTGGGGTATGAGGCTTACACCAGAAACTGTTCTACAGTGTCTAGGATAGTATCTGGCACACATTTCAAATTCATCCACTTAAAATTATCCCTCTCCACTGCCATTGCCTTAGGCTCAGTCTAGGCCACCGTCTTGACTGGGGTTCTAAAACAGCTTCCTATTTCAAATCCACTCTTCAGGAGCCAGAGTGATACTTTAAATGTAAGTTGGACCAGACCCTTCTGCTGATTGAAAAATCCCTCAAAGATTTCTGTCTTAGTTACTTTGCTTGCTGCTGAGACAAAATACCCAACACCCACAAGTTAAGGGAGGAAACGTTTATTTAGCTCTCAGTTTGTAGAGGTTTCAGTCCATAATTGCTGGCTCTAAAGGGTGGCATGGCAGAGTGGCATCACAGAGGAGAAACAGTTCGTGGTGGGCAGAGGCAGCAAAACAAGCAAGGGGTATGACCATGGCTCTTTCTATCCTTTAAATCTCATCCAGACTACTTAGGGCATGTAACACTCATACCCTTAATCCTAGTCCCCTTGATCCTAGCATTGCACCATGAATCCATTTGTGTCACACTCTAGATCCGGCCACCTCTGAAAAAGCCCCATCTATGACTATATGAGGCTTTCAGGGGGACATCTAGACACAAGTCATAACAATTTCCCATTGTCTGTGAGATCCAGCTTGCCCTCGTCTCTTGTCATTTTTTATTTAGGCCATTTGAGCTGCACAGGCTGGCTCATCTTATAGGTTCTTTTCCCACGAAGCCATTGGACACACTGTCTCCTACTTAACTACCACTTAAGCTTTCAGGTCGAAACTTACATGTTCCTTCCTCAAAAGGACTTTCCTGCAGCCCATTGTCTTTCAGAGATTTCCCTGCCTCCATGATCCTCCTCATGCCATAATCTCATAATATTCCAGGACTTACACATTTCCAAAAGTGGGCACCTAAAAGAAAAAAGGGGGACAAAGTCTGTTTTTATATCACTCTACCTTTAGTACCTAGTACAATATGAAGAGGCAGCTCTTACGATATGTTTATTAAACAAAAGGCGGATGCACGATTAGTTTCAAACCTTGTCTTCTTTCTTTACTTTCTATATTCCCAGATATACCTGATGAAATTCTTCATAGCTAACAAAAATACTGTTTCATATGTCAGGGGCCATTTATTTAAAAGCCAAGGGTGTGATCTTTGGAAACTGAGATCTGGGTTTAAATCCTCGCTGTGACATTTCTGTTTTGTGCTCCAGGACAATTTTCTTAAACTTTCTGAACTTTGGCTTCTCATTTATTAAATGAAGAGTTTAGCATCAACCTCAAAAGACTGTTAAACAGATTAAACAAGAGTGTGTGTATTGGGGCTGGGGATTTAGCTCAGAGGCAAAAGCGCCTGCCTGGCAAGCGCAAGGTCGTGAGTTCGGTTCCCGGTACTGGAGAAAAACAAAAACAAAAACAAGAATGTGTGTATTATTTAGTGCAATGAGACCTGTAAGAACACATAAGTGGCAGGGTTCTTTTGTTACTAATAACTAGTCTGAGTAACAGTCCTAGGTGTGTGCATAGATATGGAAGACAATTTATTTTTTATGGCAATGTACCTGGGTCCCAGTCCTGAAATTAGCTCTGTGGATTTGGGCGCTTGTCTTTTTGAGCATCATTCCTCTCATCTGTAAAATGGACTTACTAATCTCTTTCCTACCGACGATACAAGGCTATTATGGAGCTCACACAGGATGGCACATGTACAAAGGCCTTATAAATTGTAAAGGGCAGTATGTAAAAGTAAAGGCCTATTATTATTAATCCCGGGCTCACCTCCCAAGAAGACTCTGGGTAAATAAGATAAGGCTGCAGTCATGTTCCAAGTGACTGAGGCCACGGAGAGTTTTGGACTGGAAACCAAGTTCAAACCTGACTTTCACAGGGGCCTGGCCCCTGTTTAATTCCCAACTGACAGAGAGAAGCCTTGATATTTTTTCAGTGCCTCCGGGAGAAGAATGTAAAGGAAAGAGAAGTCCAAAAACAAGACATGGCTTGTTTGCCTGCCCCACTGATGTCTGCCCAGATAAGGGACCTGGCAAATCTCTTTCTGTGTCTTTAATTCTGTTGGCTCCTCTTTTCCCCAGGGCAGGCAGGTAATACCGCCTTGTTAGAACCCCGAGGAGAGGGCTTTTTATTAGCTAAACTGATGACAACTGTTTCACACCTCTTCACTGCCCATCTTTACTCTGCCATATCATGGAAAACAAAATTTTCCTAGACCTCCAGGGAGGCAGTGTTAGGATGTAAAAGCATAGCGTATGTTCAGATGCTGATCTTTCCTCCATTCACTTGTCACTTGTGATGTTCAAGCCTCAGACACATCTAATGGTGAGAGATGCTGGATACTAGGGATCTTTGCTGTCCAGCGGGCAGTGTGCTGGTAAATATTTAACTACTGACTCTCCTCGTGTAATCCTGACATAAATACTGGTTAATATTTTAGTTGGAGTAAGATCAAAGTAAAACAAGGAGAACATCCATTGGAACCTTTACTCATCCATGAACAAAATAGAATGACTGTGTTGAATTAAACGATAGTTTTGAATACTGGAAGATGATTTGCTCATTTTTTTGTGTGTTTTTCACAGTGTAAAAGCTACAGATACAACTTTAACTTTAATCTGCATTATTATTTGCTGTATCACTTTCTTAAATCTAGACAATTAACAAAACAAGCTATATATAGAGGAGGGGGGAGAGAGGGAAAGAGGGAGGGAGGGAGGAACAATTTTCCAATTTCTGTGGTATAAATATTTCCACTACAATTTAAAACATTTTCAAATTTTTAAATTTCTTTTCCTCTGGTACTGAGAATTGTCCCCAGGGACATGCATGCTAGGCAAGCACTCTACCACTAACCCGCTCTTTCTATGTTGGTTAAGGGGCCCAGGCCAGCCTGGAATTTGTGATTTTCCTGTGTCAAGCTCTGAGTAGCTGGGATTACAGACTCACACCAGAAGTTTTAATTTTTTTAACTTTTTATTTTATTAGTACATTTTAGATATACATAGTGATAACATTCACCATAGGGAATTTATGATAGATATGACAGATAAGAAGCAAGATACATCTTGCTGCTTCTTTTTTTCCCATTCCCCTCCCCTCCCTTCAATCCCTCGTCCCCTATTTACAAAAGATTTGTTTCCATTTTTCCTTCCTTTCTCTTCCTTTCTTTTCCCTTCCTTCCATTCTCCTTCCCCCTTCTTTTGTTCTCCTTCTCATTTGAACATTTTTTTCCCATTTCCCAATATCTATTATACATTTTGGTCCTTACAAAACATTTTAAATTTTGATGAAGTCTAATTTTTTGATTGCTTCCATTTTTGGTGTCATATCTAACAAACCATTGCCTAATCCAAGATCATAAAGATTTACATTCACAGGGCTGGGGATTTAGCTCAGCAGCACAGTGCCTGCCTGGCAAGCACAAGGTCATGAGTTCGATTTCTGGTACTGGAGAAAAACCAAAACCAAAAAAAAAAAGATTTACATTCAGATTTTCATGTAACAGTTTCACAGTTTTAATCTGAAACACTAAAAATTAAAGTGTTTCAGTTTTTTGCAAAAAATATCGAGTAATTTGAACATTGCTTATTTCTTTTTGTAAAACCTGTAACATAAATGACCAATTCATCTCTGATTAGAAATTGGTCCTCTTCCTAAGTTTGGGTCTATTTCCAATGTTTTGTTCTTTCAGTGCCATAAAGTATCTCCAACAGTTTCTTTACTGTGAATTTTTTTTTTCTTGCTAGTGTTATTATCTCAGGGACATCTTCATTCTTTTGGTCAGTACCACTTTCTTCATTTAATATCAGAAAGTTTGTCTTCATGAAGTTCCTGTTGCAGCACATTTGCAGTCTTTCAAATGAAAGCAGTAAGCCGGGCATGGTGGCACAGGCCTGTAATCCCATCACTCAGGAGGCTGAGACAGGAGGATCACTGTGAGTTCAAGCCCAGCCTGGGCTACATAGTGAGTTCAAGGCCAGCCTAAACTATAGAGTGAGAGCCCGTCTCAAAAA